GCCCCCAGCACCCGCGCCTATCACCATGTGCCCCACCATAATTGTGTGCTGCTGTGCATGCCGTGGCGTGTGTGTGAACAGAGGCCCGGAGGTGAGAGGCTGGGGCTCTGGGGAACAGGATCCCTGGAGACCTGGGAGGGGACTTGGCTGTGTGAGGATCCCGTAGTGCCAGAGGACATCTCAAGAAGCCCCAGCTTGATATGGGAGGGCAGTAGCCCTTACCCTCCCACACCACAGGTCTTACCCTCCCACCCCGCCTGTCCTGTCCTGTCCTGCCCAGGTATCTGGTTTCCTCCTGGGAGCTCCCTGCCTCTGTGTCCTAACTGCCCTGCTGAGAAGCCAGCCCTGCCCCACTGCTTGCAGGGGACACTGAGAAGCCAATACTGTCCTGTAAAGAGAAGGACACCACTGATAGTGGCAGGTTCTGGCTGCAGGCTGTCCCCTCCCAAAGGACCCAGAGGGGCAGCACTGCCTGGAGCTTTGGTCTGGACCTACAGGAGGCTGCCTCCCTGCTGTGCCGTTCCTCACGGCCTCTTCTGCTTTTCAGGGTACCTCGATCTTTTGCAACTTCAGTCACCCCAGCTGCCACCAGGTGCCACTGGCGTGGTCTCCATCCTGTGACCAGGTGAGCGGGACACTGGGACCTTCTTGGTGAGCACTGCTTTTGCCTGAGGCTTGTTTACTAAGGACTGCCCCTCTGTCCCTTTTTAATCATCCAGCAGCTGTATAGTAGCTGCTATCTTTTCCCAGTTTCCATGAGGGGCAGAAGCCCCCAGAGTTGGCAGGACTTGTTCACAAAGCCTGGGACACACAGAGTAGGGCTTGGACCTGGGCCTGTCTCCCTCTTCCTTTCTGTCCCCATTGGTTCAGCCCTGGGACACGTGCTGGTCACCCCTAAATCCCTGGCAGGCTTCCCTGCTCAGGCTGGGCCCCTAACACTCCCTGGCTGTGTTCTGGGCTCCTGTGCCAGGGCCCCATACCCAGCACTCTGCAGGGCAGCTGTGGGAGGAGTGTGGGCCGTGCCCGGGCCTGCATGAGGCTGTACTGGGCCGGCTCCCTGAGCCAGGTCAGCGCAGGACCTGGGAGTTTGCTGAGCAGCAGGTGCTCAGTGGCAGGACATGGCAAGTGTGCCCCTGCCAGTGAGTCTGTCCTGGGCCTGAGGAGAGGTAAACAGCGAACAGCGCTGTCCCTTAGGGCCAGGCCGATTGGTATTCCGCTGGCTCTTGCTGTGGGCTCAGCTTGGAGCTCCGCTGGTGGGGGGGTCCTGCAGGGCGATTGAGGACCCTGTGTGTATGTGTGCAGTAGGAGGGACACAGAGACAATGTGGAATAATATGTTTTGAAGGTGACTCCTCCAAGTGCCCTGGGCCTCTGCCCGTGAGTGCTCCAAGCAGCTGGGGTTAGGGGACAACAGCATGGCAGTGGCAGCCTCGGAGTGGAGACTTAAAGCTGGGAAGTTGGTGAACTTGGACTCAAAACATGGAGAAGTGCAGAGGAACCCTCAAAGCAGAAGAGCATTGGGTGCAGGGTATGGGGTCCCTAATTCCATGGACCACAGCTACAACTCACATTAGGAGGGAACGAAGTCCCTCCAGAAGTGCAGTCAGTTTCAGAGGCGGCCCTGAGCCATTCCAAGCACCACTGCCAACCAGCAAGCCTGCACAGGGCTTCCTCCTTCACGCCCAGCAAGCTCTCCTTCTCCTGACTTCTCCCTCTCTGGCCTCCCGTGTGATCCCTGGGTGAAGGGGGCCCAGCCACACCACCCAGCTCCTCTCTCATTCCTTGGGTGAAGGGGGCCCAGCCACACCACCCAGCTCCTCTCTCATTCCTTGGGTGAAGGGGGCCCAGCCACACCACCCAGCTCCTCTCTCATTCCCCAAGCACTTAACTTAACGTCAGCCTTGAAGTCCCTTCCACTGGGTAGAGTATACAAGCAATGGTATGAAGGATACAGATCTGCAGCCCTTTTAGAGCCCTTGCTCAGCCCGTAGCCTGGCTGTTTTCGGAGGCCTGGACTAGGTCTGGGAGTGGTAGAGGCTGGAGAAAGCACCAGGACAGGGCTTCCCCCTGGCCCTGCCTCCAGCCAGCCCCCTGCGGCCTCTGCCCAGTCCAGGGCACTTGGCCACCTCCTCTCTCTGCCCTCCCTCCAGGGCACTGCACCAACTTTGACCTCCTGAAAATGCTTTGCACCCAGGCCCCCTGGACCCCAAGATCGGCCTTCAGTCCAGCCTGGACAGCCTCTCCTTGGCCTACTGCTCCCAGTGCCACCACCCCGCAGCCTGTAGTGCCAGGTCTCCCTCCAGGATGCTGCCCCTGTTCTATCATCCTGCCCAGAGAAGCTGCAGATTCACACTGTCCCACCCCCATAACCCACCCCATGCCCCACATGTAAGAGGCCTTGTTTCTAAATTGGACACAAGCATAGAGTCTTGGATTCTAATAGACCAGAGTTGGATTTTGTTGCTGAGCAGTGAAGGTCTGTCACTGGGAGATGCTCCCATCTGAGATATGATTATTTTGCACCACCAGGATGTGCACCCTGGTAGATGCCAGGCATGGATGGATGGCAGGCCACTGCTCCCGCCTGTCTTCATCTGTCACCAAGGGCTGGTAAACATGGATGTTAATGTCAAATCCTGTATCAAAAAGGAAAAAACACCCAAGTTGTTGGAATACAGATACAATCATGGGTCTTGTTCACTAAGTGTTTGTAAGAAAAGTGTGTGAATTTCTCTTGGTCTCTATTTGTGGCTACTCAAATCCTGAATGCATCCCAGAAGGAGGGGAGCCCTTTCTGGAAGAGAGATGTCTCTTTCCAGAGATGCAGTGCTATCTCAAGTTCAGGGGATTTCAGCAGATCCCTTGCACTTCACCAGAGCAGGGAAACTTTCTTTTGGCTTTGTCCTCAGAAAAAGAAGAGCCCTGACAGTGGTGTGTAGCATAGAGCATCCTACCACCCAGCACACGCACCACTGTCCGCCTGACCACCCAGGAGCGGGGCACGTGGGCAGGGAACGGGACAAGGAGCCTTGAGGACCTCAGGAGGGTCCCCAGGGGGCCAGATCCAGCCTGCCCAGTTGTTCCTAATCCATCCTGAGAGTTCATTAGAGGGCACCTCCCATCCGCCCCATGCCCCTGCAGGCAACCTTCAGCTTTGCAGGTGAATTTCTGTCAAGTTCACACAAGCAGAAAAAGGCCAGGCTTTGAACTTGACTCAGCACGGGTTTAACAGGATGGGCAGTGATGACCACACTGTTCCCACCTTTGCAAAGTGACTGGGCTTACTGGAGTTGGCTTGTGTCACACGGGGGGGGGGGTCATTCACAGGCTTCCTTAGGTCCCATAACTTTGACCTTTTGTTCATTCCAGGAATTGCTATTTCTTGTCCCTTCTCTGACTTCTCTATCCTGCACTGTCCTGAGCTGCCACAGCCTGGGTCCCACTTCTGGGTGCCGCCTGCTGCCAGGATGGGACCTGATGTCTCCCACCCTTCCTGGCCCCCTTCCTCTCTGGCAGCACATCCATCTCTGCCTGGGTATAGGAGGCTTCCCTGCACTCCAGGGAAATGGAGTCACCACACTGGGAATGGAGAAGGGCATTGTGACTGGGGATGGACTCGGTGGTCTGGTCTGGCGCCCTTGGAAGACTCATCCCACAGCAGCTATGGGAGGCTTGGGGAACAAGCAGCCCTTTCACAGGGCACAGCTTGACAGTCTCACTGGAATGCAGGTCTTACCTTGAGTAATTTGTTTAACCTTTTTTAAGTTTTTGTTTTGCAATCACAAAACCCCTGGGCTGCTGTGCATCTGGAGTGGGGAGGTCGCGATGCTGTAGGAGGAGGTTGGGGACAAGAGAGGACATCCCCCTGCTGAGGGCTGCACCAGGCTCCCTTTGGGTCCCCAGGCCCAGCCAGCGGGTGGGGCTGAGACAGAACCCAGTCACCTCCCCAAGACCCGCCTGCCTCCCTCCTTGACAGCCAGCAGGTTCCCAGGGACAGCCCAGGTTCCCCAGGGCCAGGCTGAGCCCCAGTGGTCTGAAGGTGCAGGAACTGTGCCAGGTCTGCAGGGTGAGAGGAAGAACAAGGCTTAAGCAAATGGCACTGCGCAGGCTCGCAGCCGAGCGCCCCCACAGGCGATCTCTCCCCAGACAACCCTGCTGGGGCTACTCCCAAGGCTGGGAGGTGACACCTGGGGCACAGGGACTGAGGGGCCTGCAGAACCCAGGGCTGGGCCACACTGCTACTAAGACAGAGCCAGGCAGAGCTCCTTTGGTGATAGCCCCCATTTCAGGAGATAAGGAAGGCGCTGGGGGCTGTGCGGGGGACTGAGCAGGAAGAGCCCTGCTTGTGGTCTCAAAGTCATGGGGATCCCTTAGTCTCCATCCTGCTTGCAGTGACAGGCGACTGCTTCTTCCTGGGGTCAGGTGGAGGCAGAGCAGGAGGGCAGGATTGTCCAGGATGAAGTAGACATCGGAGATGCCCAGGCATGGCTGCTGGCCTGCATTCCTCTCTTGCCAGCTGTGTGCTGGGACACAGTTTTGGAAACTTCCCAAGCCCAGGCCAACTCCTTAGGAGCCAGCACCCTCTACTGCATTTCTGTGCTCACTTACGTGATTTTTGTTTAACAGTTTCTCCCTTTCACTCTCTCTGGGTTTATTTTGCTTTTCATTTTTCAATTATTTTCAGCCTTTAGAGTATTAGTTTCATTTAGTGCATCCCTTCTCTATAACATAAGACTTTAAGTCACAAATTCTCTGCTACATTTCTCTTTTACTGGGTCCTATACATTTTCAGATGTATTATTTTTACTGTCATTGGTTTTTCTTATTTTAATTTCAGTGACTTCTCTTTTGATTCATAATTATTAATATGTATAATTTAAAATAGTCAATGATTTACTTAAAAAAACCCCACTGACTTCCAAAGTAAGTGAACTGTAGTAGGAAACATGGTCAGTAGGGATTGTATTTTGGGGGTTGGGATGTACCTCACTGGCAGAGCACTTGCCTGACCCTGTTGGGTTTCCAGTGTTCCAAAGATGTTCTCAAAAAGTGACCGTATTCCTTCACAGTTTATTGTTTATTGTGATTTGTTCCACTGGATGATTTGAGGGATAATTCTTTACAAGCCTATTCAACTAACTGTTGTAATTAGGCTGTCATTAAATCTTCTGAATTTTTAGAAGAATTTTAGCTACTTGACACATACATGTGTGCACGCGCACACACACACGTTATAATTTCTTGATGTAATAGAAAATATCTCAATTTCTCCTTGCAGTTAACTGTTCTTGTTTTATTAGGAGCATGCTCCTCTAGAATTTTGCTTCGTGAAAATGCAGCCTTATCACTAAGGACTTACTCTTTGCCCCTTGGAGCGCACCCCTCCGTGGAAGATCCTGCTATCTTTTCGAGTGCTTGGTGTCCCTGCAGCAGGATCCCTGCTCTTTTCTGTTAACTTTTTTTTAATGTCTGTGGGTTCAGTGCATCTCTTTTAAAGAGCATTTAGCTGGCTTTTTTGTTTAGCTGACAAACTCTGACTTCTACTTGGTAAATTACTCACTGTGCAATGTGGGCACCAATGAGAACTGGGGTATGTTCTGGGGTCCACCCCCACCTCCACACTCCGCTGGCACATTCCCACCAGATGATGCCTCCAAGGCTGCTTGTAGTCCCGGAAGGACCTCACTCCTCACACTCACTCCAAACCCTCAGCTCCTTTGCATTCTTTAGTTCTTTTCACCAAGAGCCTGTGGTAGTACTTTTGGGTTTTGCATGTCTGGTAATATCTTCACTGTGTCCTCACTCCTGAAAAACAGTGCCGTGAGACACAGAACTGAAAACAGACACATTATTTTTGAGGTCCCACAGGTTGGTGCTCAGAAGAACTCTATTGCTGATTTCACTGTTATTTCTTCCTGAGTCATCTGTGTTTTGGGTGTGGCGATTTTTAAAATTTTTCTGTCCCTGCCTGAAATCCCAGCGCTCTAGGAGGAGGCTAGGGCAGGAGGATTATACGTTCCAGCTCAGCCTGGGAAAGTTAGGGGTTTAGCAAGGCCTCATTTCAAAATAAAAAATGCAAAAAAGGGCTGGGAATGTAGGCCAGTGGGAAAGCCCTGGGTTTCATCCCCAGTATGCAAGTAAATAAATAAATGACATTTCTCTGTTCTTGATGTTTGCTGTATCACGGAGGAATACTCACACCTGGCGTTAGATGGTTTATTTCTATACTCATCAGTAGGTTGTCTTCCAAAAAAAGAAAAAGTTCTGCTTATGTGACTACTCCCCACCCTGGGTTTGATAATGTCAGAGTGCAGCTTCCCCTCCTCCAAGTTCTTTTTGTCCTTTATTGCTTTATCTTTGCAACCAACCGGTCAAAATCTTGGGAAAAGCTCTGATCTTCCTTGCCTTATCTCTATGCACCATCCCCATCAGATCATTCATTATGTGAACAGATGGACAAGTGGACGAATGGACGTATGGTTGGAGGGTAGGATGAGTGGATGGGCAGATGGACACAAGGATGGGTAGACAGGTGGATGGAAGCAGTGGCATGGGGACTCAGCATGGTTTCCTTTCAGGTCCTCAAATACTCTCCCCACTTTAAGCAGCTCTGTGGCCCAGGCTGACACACCCAGCGGGCCTACCACCCTGGCTGCCCTGCCCCAGAGTTCCAGGTACTCAAGCCGTGGCGCACCCACAGGCCACACTCCCAGCCATTCACTCCAGAGTGCATTCTGTCCTTCCTCCACTGCTCCAGGGATAGAGAGCTGCAAGTCGTCTACATCTCCAGATTCTGGGTCATCACTCTCACCACAACCTGGCACAGAGCTGCCCTTGGGGGTAGGGGGTGGAGCAGCAGGACACTGTTCAGGGCACCTTCCTGGCAGGGATAGGGTCTGTGAGGGGCTGGGGTCCTCAGGGCGTGGGGTGCAGCACCAGTCCGCAGCATCGCTGTCGCCCACGGTTCAGGGCTCACGGGGCTAGAGTGCTGTGGTCCGTGTAAGCGTCACCCCCAAGCCCGGAAGCCATCAGCTGTCCCGCGGGCGCTGGAGCCCAGCACCCCTAGCACACGGACAGCAGCTGGGAGCTTTGAGTGGGCAGCGGGGCTAGGGAAGCAGGTGCGCTCCCCTGTCGAGTCCGCCTCCCGAGGGCTGCGCGAGAGGGCCCGGGGACGGGGCGGGGACTCTCGGGTGGGGAACACGAGGTTCCGCCTCAGAGGCGGGAGCAGCCTGGAGGGTGGGGCCTGACTCCTGGCTCCCCGCCGAGTTCAGAGCTGCAGCCTGCACCATGCGCCTTCGCCCATGCAGAGCAGGTGAGACTCCCGCCCTTGTCCCGATCCCCGGCCAGGCCTTTCCCGGGGGAAGTCCCCGAGTCCCGCGGGCCTCCCTCGCCAGCCCCCTCTGTCCCTCTCCGCTTTCCTCTCCGTGCGGTCCGGTCCACTGCTCTCCCTTCCTCTCTGCTCTCCCACTTTTTCTTGTCCATTTCTTCTATATTCCGTTTCCTCTGCCCTCCTGCTGGCTTTTCTCTTCCCTCGCCCTCTCCCTCTCCTCATTTGTCTGCACAGAAAAATTCTGTATTGATTTTGCCTCTAGGTTGACTTTTTTGTACCCCGCCACCTTCACATGCCTGTCGGCGCCCCCACGCCTCGCTCCGTCGTCCTTGCACGCTTGCCTGTTCCTTCATCCCCAATCCTCTGCGTGCTCAGCCCGGTTCAGCTGGGGCGGCAGTAGGCACTAGGATCAGAACCATGCATCGGCCCCAGATCCTTTCTCCAACAGATTATTTCCAAAGATCTACACGGGTGACATGTTCCGTGCCTGTGGTGGGAAAAATGATAAATCTCTGGAGCACAAAGAAAATACCTGGTTTTAGAGGCAAGACGCTGATGGGATCCTGCTCTTGACACGCGTCTTCACTAATAGGCGCCGACAGCACACCAGAGAGAATCCTTGCCACAGCTCGTCGGGGAGCGCGCCACCTACAGCAGCCTCTGGGCAGAGTGTGCGGCCCAGAATTGGGGGGCACGTAGGGCGGGCTCAGAGCTGGGTTAGGGAAGACAAGGAGAGGCCATGACTGAGCACTTGATGCCTCTGGGTAAGAGAGAAAAATAAGAAAGAAATGGTACATTTCTAAAATAAATGCTTGTCCATGTCACTGATGTGCGGGTGTTGTTCAGTTTTAGGACGATGTTTGTGGAATTTGAGATGAATGTTTGTGCGCACATTAGGTAAGAGGACCGGTTGTAAAATATTTTATGTTAATATCGAGGTTGTCTTAGACACTTACCGAGTTAAGAAATTTAGGAAAGTAAGCCTTCTTGAATATTGAGGAATAAAGTGTAAGTAATGTATGTTGAGGCGATTTTTTTTTGGTCTTCATTAAAAATTTGATCATGGGGGCTGGGGATTTAGCTCAGCGGCAAAAGCGCCTGCCTGGCAAGCGCAAGGTCGTGAGTTCGGTTCCTGGTACCGGAGAAAAACCAAAAAATAAAAAATTAAAAAAATAAAATTTGATCATGTCAAAGAAACGTGATGTCATTTTAAATGATGCTTTATGATCTACATACCTATATATCAGAAATGCATATAAAATATGTATGCTAAATTGTTTGTTTTTAAAAGATGTTCATTACCAACTAAAGCTTAAAGCTTTGGTTGATTGGAAAGAATTTAACACAATCTTGTAGTTTACTGTGATCTTGATAATTTAGCCAGTTTAACCTTTCATTTGACGCAGAATAGGAAATTTGGTTCTAGGTAAGTCACATAGAAGTGAACAGAAATTAAATACGTTGGAAGAAGGTAGCAGTGTGTTTAATGGAAGAAATTGCCCACTTTGGGTTAAGGACTGTGGACAAACTCTGTGTGTGGATTTGGGAGGCTTATCTGGATTAGGTGTTCAGGTGTCTTTCGAATCATCTAAGTGCTAACCTATAATTGATCAGAATTTGAGGGTGGATGGCAAAAGGGATGCTTTTCAAATGACTTTCTCAGAAATCCAGGAGGCGGCACCTAATGTTTTAAACAGGTGCACCAACTTCTTTTAAAAAGTACAGAGCTGAGTTTGAGCATTGTGCGTTTTCCTTCATTGCACAGCCTGCATCTCTGCAAGAGCATCCTGTGCTCCTACTCTTAGACAATGTTCTCGCGGGCATGTAAGTGGGGCTGACCAAGCAGCCTGGTGTGTAAACCATGGACAGTGCTCTGAAGGCTACCACTGACTAGGGGACCTGGTTTTGTTCTCTGCGTTATGAGTGAAAACTGTCCTTTACTGGAGTCTTGCTACTGTTCATGCAAAAAGCCTTGTTTAAGTGAGGTAGAGCACCCTGAAGTGACGATCAGCACCCCAATCTTACAAGGAAACGAAGGCCAAGAATGGTTGCACCAAGCTGTGCAGTTAGTGAATGGCTGGGCTGAGGTTGTGCTCCAAGTTCTCACTTGGAGTCTGATTGCTAAGGGCTGATTCTTTCCTGTAATGCAACTGTTTGTGAGGCAGCAGCCCTGGCAAGGTTTTATCAGAAATATTGTTCTAGCTGTTTTCCAGTTGGTACTGTTGTCGGAACTGCACTTCCTGTTCTAATGTCTTGGCCGTCCTCAGGCATGGCCAGCTTGAATCTGCACACAGCTCCTTTGAGGAGTAGGTGATGAGACAGCATCTTCCCTTACATGAGCTCCATGGTCAGCCTCTCTGTGGACCAGGGGCTGGCTGTGCTGAGAGCCCTGGATTTGGCTTTGCTTGAGCACAACAGGTGTTGCTGCTAGAGGGGAACGGCTGGACATAGAGTCCTAAGCTAGCCAGGGAGCCTTCCTCTCCCCATCAACCACCCAGGCTCAGTGAAGCCTGGACTACTTAGAGTTAACTTTCAGGTTAGGAGGCTGCCCAGACCTATGTGTATTTCACTTCTTACAAAAACCCAGGAACTCACACTCCCTGTGTTGAAGATAATGGGTGACCATCCTCTGGAATCTTCCAGTGCATCCAGGAAACCTTTGTGTAGACAAGGGACTCCACAGGATTGGAAGAACAAGAGACATCTTCTGCTGTGGTTTATTTCAGCTGAAGAGAGACAGACACAGTAAAGGACAGCCTGGCAGTGCACATGTGTCACTGAATAGGACCTGGTTCCAGAGCTGCAGCTCAGAGCAAGTGGACACTGGCCAGTTGGTATGGTGGAGAGTACCTTTAGACGGCTCACATGATCTGAGTCATCTAAGTGTTTACCGAGAGTTCTTTTGTCTGTAAATGGAATAGGAAGGAAAAAGATGCCCATGTCACTTGGTCATTCACTGAACACTGTTGTGTGTTGGCTTTTGAGGACGTACAAGTAATGGAAAGTTTGGCCATTCCTTTATGCTAATAATTTATCTCCAAAACATTTATTGAGCCATACTTATTAGCATTATCCAGTGAGATGGGTACCCAGGTGAGCCTTTTCACAGATGGGAACACAGAAGCCTAGAATGAAAAGCTTGCCAAGGTCACAGAATGGGTAAGGGCAGAGCCTGACTGGCATCCAGGTCATCTGTCCCTGGAGCCCAAACACTTGGCCTCTTTGCAGATTTAGAATGGTTTGCCAGGACAACCTGACTGAGGCATTAAATTATAGTAAAGTAGTGTGGAGAATGAAGCTGCAATGCCAAGCAGAAACACCAAAATGACACCCAGGATTTGGAGGCAGATTTCCTTATGTTGATGAGCACTGATCAAGGTCACGCCCAGAAGATCAGGCCCTGATCTCTGGTGGTCTAGGGCTTATATGGGATAAGCAAGAAGGAAGTCCAGAGATAGAATGGTTTGTCATTTGGGAATTGGTTTATACAGAGTGCATCATAGTGACCAGCTATGCATCATAGTGACCAGTCATTTCTAAGAGACAGGAGCAACCAGAATTGGAACAGGAACTATTACCTGGGCAGCTAAGAAACCGAAGTATACTGGGGTGGGGCATTTTCTGCTACACAGCCAGAGTTTCCCAGCTGTTGGAAGGTTTGGCCCATACTTGTTGTCCAAGGGTATGTAATAAACAAAGACATGCTTGTTTTCCACATTCTGGGCTGGAGAGGCTGCATCTCTTAAGACATGACACTTGTCGTATGGGTCAGTAATGCGTGCTGATGGGCCAGGAGGGATGGGAGCTTTAGCAAGAACTATTTCCCTATGGTAGGAAAGACCAGGTACATTAGGTCATAGACTTTGGGAGCTCAGTGTCAGAATGTATCCAAGATAGTCACTTTCCGATCTCATGATCATAAATGTGACCCAGGACTCACTAAAAATAGTGGGAGAGTCTTGGAATTCAGTCAGCCTCTTTCAGACAGAAAGAGCACGGGTTAGTTCTGAGCGATGTCTGTGTGACCTGGGGGAATGTATTCCTGAGGCCAGAGTGATGAGAATGAAGGAGGACAAGAAGAACACTTTCTCAGGACACGCACAGAGATGGAGTGACAAGAACCGACAGAGAGTGTCAGGGAGAGCCCACAATGAACCAAGGCCATTGAGGACAGCTGAGGACAACAAAGCATCTTCTTATACTAGGTCTGGAGCAAGATGAACAAGGATGGCATAGATCCCTCGCTGCCTGGGGCAGCTGGTGTCCGGGAGGACAAAGAGGAAGGAGCAGCTGTACTCTGCTCAGAGAACAGCTGGACAGAGGATGGCCCTGCAGGTGTCCAGAGTGGTGGCCATCCCTAGAGCATAGGAAGAGTCAGACAGCACTGAGAGCTCTGTGTGTCATCAGGCTCCTGACTCAGGGACCTCCCATAACCACATCATGGGACCCAGAGATGAGGTTCCATGTCATCTGAGAGGCACCAGGGTCATGGGTGACTCAGGGAAAGCCAGGAGGTTGATGAGGTATGAAGTAAGGTGCCAACCCCAGGAAGGTCCTGGGATAGAAATGATGGCTGGGTGCCCATGCACAAGGAGGATATGACCACTGAGTGGTGACAGGAGCTCTGTAGGAATGGGCCATGGCAGAGCCAGTTAACTTTCCACCTGGAAGGGCTTCCTTCTGGCAGTAGTTGGGTGGGTGGGGATGGGAGCTGGGCTGCAGACAGAGCTTTGGAGACATCTTTGCACTTGCTGGAGTGACCGACCCCAAGCAGTGCTGACACATGAGAAAGAGGTGGCCCTCTGGGGATTCCCAGGTGTCAGGCAAAGGTCCTCAGCCAGGTTGTATGTTCCTCTACTCCTTTTTTCTCCCTTTTTTCTGTCCATTATTGTGATTTGTCTTCTCCTTTTCTTCCTCTTCCCTATAAGATTTGGAGGGTGTCCTTAATGGGGCATGAAGCTGGACAGGATTCCAAACTCAGCAAACTGGTGCTGTCCAGATTCATCATGTTCTCAGAAAGCTGGAAAGCTGCACTGAGCTTAGCAAGGCAGCTTGCAGATTGAAGCTAAAGGTGCTTGGTCTGAGACACACAGTCTCCCTCGGGTGCTGGTTGTGAAAATGAAGTGAAATCAAGCACATTAAGCCATGTAGTGGAATTAAGCGTGAGCAGGCAGTTATGGAGTTGATGAAGGGCACCTTTCATTTTTATATCAGGGACTGTCCTGATAGCCTCTGTTCTGCTGCAAAACCACATCACCAGTTTTAGTGCTGAGAAGACGGGATTCACATCCTTAGCTCCGGGCACCTTGGACAATTTGAGCATCAATTGCCAAAGACCACTCAAACCCCGAGGGCAGCTTCTTGGCCTGTCTACAAAGGTGATGTGGGGGTGCAGCAGGTGCTTGGGACCAGGGAACAGGAGGACAGGCTCCTGTGTGAGCTTAGGGACAACACTGTGTGGAAGGGTGAGGAGGGAGAGAGTGAAAGAAATTGGGAGAGATTAAAAGAGAGAGAGAGAAAGAGAGTAAAAGAGGGAGGACCAAGGCTGAGAGGTTTGTGTCTGTGTGTGTTTATATGTGAGTGTGTGTATGCAAAATCTTTTGGCAAAAGCCAGAATTGTTTTCTGGTCCCCCAAGGAGCACAGGAAGGGAATCCTGAAGGCCCCCAGGCCTCTCACAGTGAAGCTCTCTCCTCCCTTGGGCCTGTGTGGACCTGGGCAGCTCACATTCTCCTGAGATGGGCCACATCCTTGGGAGAACAAAGTGGACTTCTGACGTGCTAGGCCCACATCCTGCCACTTGGTTATCCATCTGCAAAGATTTCTTGGGTGTTTTGGGGTTTTAGAGAATACCTTCCCATAAGCACACATAGGTACATAGGTGGTGTGCTCAAAATATACAGTGAATGTTTAAATTAAAAATTTATTATAGTAAGGTAAAAGACACATTTCCATGGATTCCCCTCAAAATATTCCTCCTCCCTTTAAACACACTCATCCCATTGCTCTTGCCAGTCTCTGAAGCAGTTCTGGAAGTCCTCTTTCATGAGTGTCTAGTTGTGCAGTTGTGGCTGCCCCAGTGTCCCAAATGGATTCAAAATGTTTTTCTTTCATGATCATCCTGAATTGGAGAAGATCCAGAAGTCACAAGGTGCCAGATCCAGTTAGTAAAATGGGTGAGGACATGGTGTAATGCCTTTAACAGCGTGCCTTTCCATAGTGTGGCACTCAGCAACAGTATTTTTCATCATACCTTATACAGACGCTCACAAAAGAGGACTTCCACACCTGCTTCCATCTCCATTGCTGCCTGGACTCTCTGCCTTACCCTGCCAGGGCATCTTTACTGGCTTCTGCTCCTGGGCATGTTCCCCTCTGCTGCTTCCCAGCTGTGTGCTCTGGGTCCAAATCCCTCTGAGCTCCTCCTGTCCCCTCTTCCCTTCTCCCCAGAGGGAGTATAGCCATTCCTCCCAGTTCACAGCAGCAGAGGCCAGCAGATCCGACCAGATCTGGGTTTGTCTGACTTCAGCATGTAGGAGGGTTCCAGAGTGGCTGGTGTTGGCAACTCACTGCCTGTTGCTTCCTCTCTCTGCAGATTGCAGTGGCCCCACAGCTGTCAGTGGGAACTCTCTGATCGCACAGCTCTCCCAGGAAAGCCAGGCCTTCACAGCTCACACCCTGCAACTGATGGCTAGTGGAGCAGGCACTTTGCTCAGCCTGTCTGGGTCCTGCTGATCACCATGGCTGCTGGGAAGGGGACTCCCTTGAGCCCTTCAGCTGAAAACAGAAGGCAGCTGAGTGAACCCGAGCAGGGCCAGGGCCACAAGCCGGTACTGCTGGAGAAAACGAACTGCCTGGGCTCTGAGGCTGCCACTGGCAGGGGTACCCAAGATGTGGCTTGTGCTGAGCTGGCCATGTCAACATCAGCAGGAAAACCCAGACTGGGCAAACCGCTGCCCCGGAAGGCTTGCACCGGGGAGAGGCTGAGTGCTTTTATGGGGCTGCCAAGGCCACAAGAGAGGCTGGGGGGCGGCCGGGCCCAGGACAGTGAGCATGAGGTTTCTGCAGGCCATCCTGGCCCCCAGCAGCTGATGCCAGATGTCCCCAGGGCTTCAACCTGCTGTGTGTGGCCTGGTGCAGCCCGAGGGGAGCAGAGAAGCGCCTTTAGCAAACCCACTAAGCACCCAGCAGAGGGGCCTGGCTTCCAGGGTGCCCTGGGAGAGCTCTCTGGACTCCTCCATGCTGTGGATGTCCCTCGTTGGAATCGACTGTCCACTTCCAAGCTGGTGATAGGGGACCTCTGGAACTTGCAGACGCTGTCACAGAACACTCTGCTCTGCAGCACTTTCCTGGGTGCTCCCACACTGTGGCTGGAGCCTGCCCAGGCTCAGGGGTGCCCTATATCTTCTGCATCCCACTCACTCCCCTCAAGAGCTGTCCTGCCGCCCACACTCACCTCCCTGGGCTTATCCACCCAAAACTGGTGTGCTCGGTGCAACCGCTCCTTCCGCCTGACCTCTGACCTGGTCTTTCACATGCGCTCCCACCACAAGAAAGAGCCTGCGGGCTCAGAGCCCCATCCTAAGCTGCGTAGACAAGAGGCCCTCACCTGCCCCATCTGCCATGAGTACTTTCGGGAGCGCCATCATCTTTCCAGGCACATGACTTCGCACAGTTAGCAGTGGACAGGGGTGAGAGGGCAAGGTCCTGGGTACAGTGTCCAGTGGTGGCAAAGGCAGCTCCTAGCCTGCCTGGAGTATGGCACAGGTCTGAGACCTCTGTGCTCTTTGGCATCTATGGATGAACAGCTCCATCCTTAACTGGAAAAAATCGCTGAGCCCTTGTGAGGTGCTTGGCAGGAAATGAAGTTCTGAAATGAAGTGATGTGCTTTGCTCATCCGGGTTAGTGGGGCAGTGGGCACTGGGAGCAGGGTTGCTCCTGGCTCTGTTCCTTTACTTTTCCTGGAAAGGTATTGGGGCCCAGAATGGGTCATATAGGTAGGCAAGACCTGCATTCACCTTGGAGCTATAACCTTGAACCTGCTGAGCCTCAGTTTCCTCATCTGTTAAGTGGAGGTGAATATGTCTGAGTGACAGGGCAGGTGTGGCCTGTTTGCTGCCTGGTACGCCGTGAGCACTGAGGACAGGTCACTGTCTGGATTCATCAGTCTTGCCATCAAGGAAATCTCATGGGCAAATGAATGCATGCATGTGTTGCTTGGCTGTGAGTCTGCGATGGGGCCAAGTGAGGAGGCTTCGCTGGCTGTGGCTCCTGCCGGCAGGTGGAATCAAGTCCAAGCTCTGCCTCTGCTGGGATGAACAGGCTGTGCAGAGCAAACCTCATTCGCAGTGATGCCAAGAGTGGGGGAGAAACACAAACCAGTAGTCGAGCCTGCCACCTGCTCTGGGGTATGCAAATAAATGAGAGTGCTTGCCATGTGCAGAAGGTCACCACTGAGACTACTGTCCTGGGTGGGACAGGAAAGGGCATCTCCGCTCAACGTGAGGTGACATTCTTATCTTGTCCCTTGACAGCAGCGCCTGATGCTGACACTAATGCTCACCTTTCTTCAGTGGAAACTAAGCTCAGAGATTCACAGCTTCTTCAGACTGCTGCTCAGGAGCAAGGATACAAGAATAGGACCCCAGCCTCCCCAACTCTGAGCTCCTATCCTTCCCAACCTGCCACTTGTGTGCATAGCTCTATAAGAGGCTTCCTGGGTGACTTAAGAGCAGGAGCACAGGGGCAGGCCTGCCTCAGACTCCATCTGAGTCTTGCTGCTCTCTCTCTCTCTTACACACACACACACACACACACACACACACACACACACACACATTCCTACCACCCTTTTCTGGAGCAGTTTTCTTATCTCAAATGCTAAGTATTGTACTGCTTTATCTTATATATTATGGCTCCTGCCACTAGAACTAAAGCCCAGAGGAAATTTTGCTATTTTGTGTACCTGCTGTATCTCCATTGTCTAGAGCAGTATAAGCACACAGCAGGCATTTGCCATGTGAGTGAATGCATGAAAAGCCTGGCTCTAGCCTTGCTCGTGCTGGGTCTCCATCTGCTTCTCAGGAGGGTCTCGGCACCTACAAAATGATGTGCATCCTTGTCCCTCCCTGGCTGGTTACCCCAGGCTTGGTTTCTGTAAAGATTTTTTAAGTGGGGAGAATGCCCCCTATTAAGATACAGTGGACACTTGGAAATGGAAAAGGACTTTAGTGCCACCCTCACTTTATACCAGTGGCCTTTGAGGTCCACACCCTGCTGACATGCTCAGTATGGAAGGGCATGTGGAGGTGAGGTCAAGGTTAGGACCCCTGAGGGGTCAGCCCTGCCCCACCCACACCTCCAGAACCGCAGCTGGACCAGGCGCTAGCTTGCAGGAATAGAATGACCTTGGGTGCCATTGCTCCTGGAAACCAGTTATACCATTCCTAACTGGGATGGGCATTTTGAGAAAGGTTGACGCTATGAAGATACAAGTAAATATCACCTTCCAACTCTACTTTTTAAGACAGATGGATATCATTTTATTAAAAGTCAACTTCTAAGACAGAGTTAATCTTGGTAAAAATTGATGTAGGTTCAAGTTGCTTGGCAGCCATTCAAAGCAACCCACTCAAAGATGATTTGGGGGTGATGACTGCTGGGTGACTAATGTGGCTGTCCCTTAGTGTCACAGGCCCCTTCAAGAGTCAGTTCCTTTCTTGCCTCTTCCTTCCTGTCTCTCTGTTACTGCCATGGTCTGGATGTGTGTGCCCCCCAGCTACCATCATGAGGTCTCTCCATGCTAACTGGCTATCTCCGTCTGTAAGAGGCAGGCCTAGTGGGAGGTCCCTAGGTCTCTGGGGTCATCCCCTTAGAGAATGTGGACCCTCCATCTCCTCTCTCTCACACCTTCATTAATCAGAGGGCTACCCTATCTTAGATTAGAAACTTTATGAATAAATTATATAAATTAATTGTCTCAGTTATTTTGTTACAGCGACCTGAAGCTGACTCATAGTGGTTTTCTGGCAAAGAAAGTAGTATTAGACATGTAACACAGAAGCCACAGAGTTCATGAACAGAAAGACCTGGCCAACTTCTTGGAACCCACGAGAAAAGATTCCTATTAGTTGCTAGAAAAATGATAAATTATATCCTAACAAGTCATCTCCCAGCAGCAGCCACTCAATAAGGGTTTGTAAAAAGTCACTGAAATGTGCAGATGAGGCTAAAATATTTTGAATTCAGACATGACGAAGTACATGTAGGGTGGTATGACTGTGAGCATTCTGAACTGATTCAATTTAATTCTCAATTTTAACCAAGATTGCCTCCTATCTTAAAGAGAAGTAAAACCATCAGAAGGCTGGGATCCTAGATTCCAATTTGTTGCCAATTCCTGAATCTTTGGATTGGGGATCTTAAATACCCATGTGATTAGAATAACAAATGTGGATGAGATTCTGGGCTCAGGAGGACTGTGATGGGGCGGGTGTTGACACATGGACCTTCAACATCTTGAGTAAAGACTTCTCAGAGTTAGGCCTTAAGACAGGACAGAGATCTGGACTTCATGTGCAAGTAGTTGCCAACTGATACGTGGTTTTTTTTTTTTTTTTCCTCCGGTACCGGGAACCAAACTCACGACCTTGCGCTTGCTAGGCAGGCGCTTTGCCACTGAACTAAATCCCCAGCCCTGATAAGTGCTTTTGAGTAGCAGAGTGCTTGGACTCACGGAAGCACATCAGAGGTGGTGGTGATGGGGTCAGCCAGTGACCCCAATTCTGTTTCACTCTCAGCTGTTGAATAGGCCAAAGACTGGGTCTGGCCCTTTCTACTTCACTCATGTCCCCATTTCTGGGAGGACAGAAAGAGAACCCTCAAGGTGCAAGTCCACAAGAGAAGCCCAAAGCCAGCCCTGCCTCCTGGGGGTGGGTGATGGCCCCTGAAGATATGGGGCATTGTGGGCAGCCACCTAGAATTCACACAAGCTTCTCACAGCCCTGTCAGTCCTATAATTTTGTTTGCTTAGAAGTCATGTGGAAGGCCTAAATATCATACAGCACATAAGATATGAATTTCATTGGATAATCCTTTCACTGATAAAAGAAGTCATTCTCCAGTAAGCTTTGGCTTGGGACATGCCAGGAGAAAGTTTTGGAAAACAACTTCACATGGATTTTGGAGAGGGGACTCATGCAGCTGGGGTAGGTTGGGGGTTACATTTCTCTTCCCCTCTCATGTTCAGCTGTGTTTTTCTGGGCTGGAGGCAGGAGGCCCCTGTCATGTGGGCCACTAGCCCTCATAAGCTGCTTGGATTAGGAGGCTATTTTCAGTGCTAGGCTCCCTGCTCAGCAAAGCACAGGGAGGTCCTTACTCTAGGCTGCAGCTAAATCCCCAGGGACCAGCAGGGAGAGCTGGTGCCCTTCAGAGGGGCCCTGGAGGCAGGATTCCTGGCCCATGAGTGGGTCTGGGCTGCATGGTTTCCTCTGCTGCATTTGTGCTACAGGTTAGCCAAGGCCCTTGCTGATGTGGAATTCCACTTTCAGTGTCTCCTGAACCCAGAGCTATTTTTCCTCTTATTTTTCACAAGAAACACTCTCCTAACTTCACCTTTTTGCCTGCAATTTCATTCTTCCACTTAGTGAGCCAGCGAGCTCAGGTTGTGCAGTTTGTACAAAGTGAACTTTTTTATCAGTACTCCAGGCAGCCCTTGTGTCTGACCCCTGATCATCCTTCAAGCAGGGGTGCAGGGCACAGGCCAAGGACCTCATTATTTACTTCCCCGGCTCACCTATGGAGGATCGCGTGGACCTGTTTCCTGCATCCTGACCTTCACGTGACATCACAGGCATCCCACACCTGTGCCAGATGGCCAGTGTCAGGTAGCAGGAAGCCAGGATGGTGCTGCCCCTGAGCAGCGCACAGCAGGATGGGGACAATGATGATCATGGCCAGTGTGAGCACTGCCCAAGGGACCAGAAGGTAACAGGAGCAGAGCCCCTGATCTCCCACCCATGAAATTCTACATAGAATCCCAGACTGCAGGTGGCCCCTGAGCCCTAGAAATGTGGACTTGTGCTGTGAGCCCAAACTACGCATCTCACCTCAGAGACTGTGCAGTGAATGATGTCTCAAGCCATGGCTGTGTGGGTCACGTGGTGAAGTAGTGATGCTGTGGATCAGTACTTAAATCAGTTGAACACATGGTTCCGACTTACAGTGGCTCAGCTTATGAATTTCCATCTTTACAATAGGTTAATCAACGTATTGGATGCATTTTTTACTTACTGCATTTTTGACTTTTCAAAATGAGTTCACCACTGTAAATCAAGAAGCATCTGAGGGATTCAGATAGGCTATAATCACCTCATTTTATTTTTGCTTTTGGAAGCTGTGGCTAGTAGAAAATAGCGGCATGCATGACTTGAATTGGTGGCTCATGTTAATTCTAACAATGGAACTGCTCTTGGGACAGCCCAGGGACCTGGGGTTGGCAATTAGGGAGCACTGGTGAGGACAGACCTGTACTTAATCTCCCCCAAATAATAGCCATGGGGGACTGCTTTGGAAGGGGTGATCTCCCCATCTCTGGGGGCATGCAAGCAGAGAGGAGGGGTGCAGTGGGGAGGAGGGTGGGTGGATGAGCTCCAAGAATGCCTCTAAGCCTAACCTGAGCTGAGCAGTCCTGGAGCCATCCCTGAGCCTCAGACAGGACCCAGGTAGGAGCCCCTTGGTGGGAGGTCCCTGGGCCCAACCTCCGAATCACCCTTGAAGGTAATGCTGGAGCATCTCCTGGGCTCTGGTGAGGGCCATCTCTGCAGGGACCAGCACATGTGGTGTCACACCCACCCCTTCCCAGGAGCTGCCATCTGCGGCCCCCACCGAGCGGGCTGTGGGGATGGTGATGTAGAGGTGGGTGTCGTCTACATGATAGGTCTGCGGCGGTTGGCAGCCCCCATTGGTCACCTCCCCGATGACCACGGCCCGGCCCAGCCTCTTCATGATGTAGGTGAACTCCTCAGCTGCACCGGCAGTCACACTGCTGGTCAGGATGGCCACCCGCTTCTGGGACCCGTAGCGCTCACCTGCAGAGTAGAAGCCCATCAGGGTGGGAGGCAGCTGGGTGTGGGGGCCCCTGTGTTTCCACCCTGTCTGAGCCTGCAGACACCAGCAGAGAGCTGCTGGGGACTTAGTCATCATCAACTTTCCAGAGTGGCAGGTTCTTCCTGCACGATGAAAGCCCCAAATAGGACCTGACTCCTCCTTCCTTTGGAACCCTCCAAAGAGCCAGACAATAACTTACTGACAGCCCTGGGGACAGTGCTGCTCAGTAGACCTGTGACATGCTCAGAATGCAAGCCAGTGGGGTCAGTTTAAGTGCTTTGGTGGCCACATTCAACAAGCAAAAATAAAACATGAGAAGCAGGGCGTGGTGGCCCTTGCCTGTAATCCCAGTACTTGGGAGGCTGAGGCAGGAAGATTACCCTGAGTTCAAGGCCAGCCTGGGCTACGTAGCAAGACTCTATAACAAAACAACCCCCCCCGTCCTACATAAAGCATGAATTTTAACTTTGACTATGTGTTATTTGATCCATCATATTCAAAATAGTTCACATGGAATCTAATGAAAGTACCAGTGAGATCTTCACTTTCTTGCTTTTTCCCTGTGATAGGTCTGCTAACTCTGGTGTATGTTTTATACTTCGCGCACACGTCAATGTGGACCACCTACATTCCAAGGGCCCCAAGGCTCAGATGACATGTGGCTGGGACCTTAAAGTTCTAGGGTCTCCCGAACTTCAGGTCTGAGTTTGTTTTTAACTCCTGGTCTTGGTTGTCAGTTTGCAATTGGAATTCACCTGCTTCTGATTTTTGTGTTTTTGCAGTACTACCAGGTCATGTCCTGGAAGCTACTGCAAAATTCACAAAGTGCACACGTACCAAGGGAACTGGGCACTCTGCAGCTATGGGCACCCACTGGCCTCTCCAGCGCCATCTGGTGGTAGCAGCATAGCTTTCTTGGCTCTGCATACTGGGCTGGGCTTGGCTGGGAGAGGGAGGAAGTTTGCCCACCCGGGAAGGGACTTTGGGGGTCTGCGTCTGTAGAGCTCAGGGGCTACCATGCTCCTTGGCCAAGGCAGCTAATGGAGGCCCTTCAACCTTAGGAATGTGTGCAGTGGTGCCACTAAGAGTCTCTCTGGTTAGCAATGGGCAGAGGATCTGCCTTGGTCCTGCCAGCTGCTGGCATATTCACACTTGTGCTCTTTCTGTTAGTTGCTTAGTAACCTGAGACCTCCCTTTTCCTCCTCTATAAAATGGGCACACGCTTTTTGCAGAGACTGAAGTTCGCAGCCCCAACTGCTTGGACAGGACAGGGCTTCTGATTCCAGTTGCTGTTCCTTTGGCCTAAATCCTCTCCCTGGCTCCCTGGCTCCTGAAGTTTGGAAATGAGATAGGAACAGGGCTTCTCACGTGCCTGCAAGGTGGGTGTGGGTCCACAGCTCCGTGACCGAGTCATTGGGGCGACTGTAGATCTTGTCCAGCAGAATGGGTGGGCCCTCGTCAAAGAAGTAGGAGCACAGCGCTGAGATGGAGGAGGTGGGGCCGCCGATGTTAAACCTGAGGAGGGAAGAGGGGCTGAGCTCACAAGTGGCCCTCAGTGTCCTTTGGGAACCACCTTCACTGCCAGCTGATTCTGGTGACATTTTACAAAAACTTCCAAGCGTCATAGTTCAGGTGTCCTAACCTGGTATTTGTGTGGCAGTGCATTCAGGGTCATGAAAAGCCATTGGAAATGAGGGCATCTGTGTCCACCGGAGGCCATTTGAATCTGTTCCCCTGTGTGACTTTGCTGGGCCCATCTGGCTGGTGATGCGTTGGAGGTTGGGGCCCAGGAAGACCTGGCCAGGTTTAGGGCCAGTGATCCTGGCATCCCAGCCTTGCAGCTTCAGGGATGGGAGGAAGGGGTGGA